CCATCTTTCTGCATCAGGGAGGCTATGCAGTCGGCGGTGCCAGCATACCTTCCGCGCGGTGGCGGGAACCGAATGCGGAAGGGGAAACAGATACACCCAAGTCTCGCCACAGGGAACCCGAGCTGAGGAGCGAAGCCCCTCTGGGGGGCCTCTTGCGCCTGGATGCCCCAGGAGCGCCAGGGGAGAGCCCACGGAAGGACCGAAGAGGCATAGATAGAGCCCCTTCCAGAACCTAAGTGGACCTGATCGGGAAGTCCTGACTATCAGATCCGAAAGCGGACCAAAACTCCACCCACTCCGCCCCCCGATCATGTCCGGAAGAGCCGAACCCGTCGAGACCGAAGGCAGGGACTCGCAGGAGTGGAAGCGCCCACCTGCCCGCTCCAGCAAACAGACAGCAACTGCAGCAGCAGTCAAAAGGTCAGGGACAGGGCAGGAGACCCCGCATCGAACCGATAGGTTGGATCCGCGATCGACATGCATCGGATCGGCAGAAGGCGGCAGCCTGGTCGGGCAAAGAGTCGGATCGGCGGGCCAGCAGGCCTCCACTGAGAGATAACCTGAATCCGAATCGGAAGCCCAGGTCGAGTCGAGCCGGAGTCGGAAGCCATCGAGATCGAAAATCGAATCGTGTCGAAAGAACCGAGACGAGCCCTGCAGGGTGCCCGAGCGACTCTTGCTCTGCCCCAGCGCGCGCTCGTCCGTACGGCAGGCGTCTCTCCGGAAGCCGCGCCCCCGGAGGCCGCACCCGGAGGCCTCGCTTGGGGGCCACGCGCGGGGGGGCGGGGGGGGCCACTCTGGGGGAGGCCACGCGGGGGGGGGGGGGGGGGGCGGGCCACTCTGCGACGGGGAGGAGGAGGAGGAGGAGGAGGAGAGGGAGGAGGAGCAGCAGCAGCAGCAGGAGGAGGAGGAGAACAGGAGGAGGAGGAACAGGAGGAGGAGGAGGAGGGAAAGGAGGAGGAACAGGAGGAGGAACAAGAACAGGAACAGGAACAGGAGGAGGAGGAGGAGGTGGAGGAGGAGGAAAAGGAGGAGGAGGAGGGGGCCATACTGGAAGGGGGGCGGGGGGGGGCACGTTTGGGCGGCAGGCCGCGTTAGTAGGGCGGCCACGCTGGGGGGCCAAGATGGGGTGCCGCGCTGGGGGGCCGCGCAGGGGGGCGGGGGGGGGCTCGCGCAAGAGGGGGCGGTGCGTCTCTTGGCGGTTTCGGCTCGAGTCCCGCCAGGCGGGGGCGGCCACTGCGCCGCTGCGCCCTCTGCGACGCGCAGCTGTGGGGGACAAAAAAAACTGCCAGGAGCAGTACGCAGGCAGCGCGCCCGAGCAGCGTGCCCAGTGCGGGCCGTCGGTCGAAGGAGGAACACGACCAGCAGCGACAGCAGCAGCGGGAGCAGCACCAGCGTGTGGACGGCGAGGACGAGAGAGAAAATGATGACAAGGGACAGGGAGAGAGGCAGAAGGCAGGGGAAGAGAGGACGGATGGAAGGAAGGGACAAAGGGGAGAGAGGAGGATGCAGCACGAGAGGGAGTAGCAGGACGGGGGCGATGAGCAGACTGGGCAGAACCAGACGGGCTGATTGGGCGGGTGGACCCTGACGGGCGGATCGGGAAGGCGGGCCCAGGCGGCCAGGTCGAGCAGGTGTGTTGCTGAAGCATGCGTCCTGCATGAATCGCGGGGGAAATATCGGAAATAGCACGATTCCCCAGTAAATCGTCAGAAATCCACAGCGAAAGCGTGATTCCTGAGCGTCGAAGGCTCGAAATCTGAGTACATTGCGAGGATCCCATACGCGAGAGCGCGATTCCTGCATAAATCGTAAGGAAGTCCCACGCGAGAGCGCGATTTCTCAATAAATTGACAGAAATATCCAGCAAGAGACGTTGTTGTCGTTCTTCGGGGCAGGGGCCAGGTTTGACCCTCAAGATTTTCCCTGATACAAAACCAGGTGCGACCCCCGGAGGGGCATTTCAATCCCACCACACCTTTAGGGCGTAGGTGGTCTAGGGGGCTTCCTCTTCCAACCCTGTTTTTTCCCCTCCGGGGAGGGGCTCCCCTCCCCCCACCGTCTCCCCTGGACCTGGACGGAAGGGTCCGCGGGTAGTTGGAGCGTCCAAAACGGCCTCGGCGAAGAAGCCAAAATCACTGGTTTTACTCACGTGTTGGCCCCATGCTGGCCTCCTGGAGGGAGGGCCCAAATGAAGGACCCCCCCTTCTTTGATCGATCTCCTCCGAAATGGCCCCAAGAGCGCCCCCAAGGTTCCCAAGGGGGCCCCGAGAGTGCCCCAAGAGGTGGCCAGGAGGCCCCAAGAGGCCCCCAGGTGGCCCCCAGGATGCCCCCAAGAGGCTCCCAAGAGACCCCCACGAGGCCCGAGGCCCAAAGAGGCCCCCCAGCGGCACCCAAGACGCTCCACGAGGCCTCGGCGAAAATGCCAAATTCATTGATTGCACGAAGAAGTTGACCACATGTTGGCCTCCTGGGGGGAGCACTGATTAAGATGATTCCGACAGCGCCTGGGAGAGCCCAAGATGACCTCCAAGATGGCTCATGCTATCCCAAGATGCCTCAAGATGGCTCCCGCGATGCTCCAAGAGGCCCCAAAGACCGCTCCAAGACGGCTCCAAGTGGCCAGAAAGCTCCCCCAGGAGGCCCCGAAGAGGCCAAAAACCTTCCAAACCTTTAGGAAATCAATGTTGTTGGTTTCTCGCCTTTTCGCTGCCGATGGTCATCCGGAGCGTCAAGATGGCCCCAGGACGGCCCAAGAGGGCTCCAAGAGAGGCTCAAGAGAGCCCCAAGACGCCCCCAAAAGCGTCCAATAGCGCTCGAAGAGCGCCGCTCCCGAAGGGCAACGCTAATTAGTGCTCCCATCTTCTTTGACCGATGTCCTCCAAGATGGCCCCAAGAGCGCCCCCAAGGTTCCCAAGAGCGCTTCAAAAGGGCCCCAAGAGGCGCCCAGGAGGCCCCAGGAGGCCCCAACAGGCGCCCAAGAGGCCCCCAAGAGGCTCCCAAGAGACCCCCAAGAGGCCCCAAGAAGCTCTCCTAGGCACCCAAGACGCTCTAAGACGCGTGCGGGACCACCAAGAGGCCCCCAGGACGTTCCGAGAGCTCCACTGCGGGACCCTTCCTCTGCGTGCTGCGCACTTCCCTGATCGAGGCAATTCCTCTGGGTATCGTTTCTGGATGGGCTGGTGGGGCTACTTTTTGGTCAACAGGCTCGCGAGGCGGGTCGAAAGCCGTCCGAACACTAGTCGGGCCGCGACTAGGCAGCAGGAAAAGAAAGGCAAACGAAGCAAGCGAGCGGGGAGCCACTCAGAAGGAGAGCCAGAACCGATACCCCCAAACCCGGTGGCGTTGGAAATCCCGGTGGCGACCAGCAAGTAAGCGCAGCCAAACTGGCGCGGCGGCGCGACCATAAACACGCAGAGGTCGATCGCTCGGTGTGAGCCAGGCAAACAGCACCGTCAGAGACGAGAACTGGCGGGGTTACGCGAAACGTGAAGAATTGGAAAATACTATGCGTGCCAGGGGGAGGGATCAAATCAACATTATGATTTAGGAGCGAGAGTTCAACAACTACAACAGCAACGACAACGACAACGACAACGACGACGACGACGACGACGACGACGACAACGACAACAACAACAACAACAACAGCAACAACAACAGCAACAACAACAACCACTACAACAACCACGACGCCGACGACGACGACGACGACAACAACGACAACAACAACATCAACAGCAACACCAACAACAACGCAACAACAACAGCAATAACAACGACAACGAGAGCATCAGCAACAACAACAGCAATAACAACAACAAGCACAACAACAACAACCACAACAACAACCACGACGCCGACGACGACGACGACGACGACGACGACGACGACGACGACAACAACAACAACAACAACAACAACAACAACAACAACAACAACAACAACAACAACAACAATTTACCCGAACGCTCAGTGTTCTCACCAGTGCCAGGGTTTTCATGCGACGCCAGCCAATGCCCCCACTTTGTGGGGGGGCAGTGCAAGCTCTACCAAATATCCACACGACTCTTCGCCACCACCCACACCCAGCTTCCCGCCCTATGACGTTCGGACACTTCACTTCGTGGCCTGCGGACGACCGTGGCTACTAAACTGGCGTGGAGTACACACCCACAGAAGTTGTTAGGACAGCGCGCGCGGGTAGAAATTTTGAAAAGTCGTGCAGGTGTTTTTCGAGGACCTACGGTGCGATTAGTGTGATTTTATGATGCGCGGTGCTAAAATTCTTAAGAAGCCCAATGGTTTTTGGAGATTTCGGCGTGCGCGCGCGAAGAAAAAACGAATGTCCCGCATGGTATTATTTGACAGGGATGATGGCCCTGGCAGGTGCGCAACCATTGTCGCAGAAGTTCGAAAAAGTTGCTCGCAAAAGCCCGTTTGACAGAAATGTTTAAAAAGTGTTGGGTTTCCTACGAATCCGCAAGAGCGCGCGGGATGAGATTTTGACATTTTTTTGTTGAAAAACCATTGGTTTTTTGATGTTTTTATGTTAAAATCGCTCCGAACACTAAGCTTTTGGAAGGATTTCGTCTTGCGCGCGCGAATGTCCACTTTACCTTATTTTTTGCAAGGGATTCTTGAAATTTGATTATATTAGAACAAGAAATGTCATTTTATAGTGTTTTTTGCAAGGGAAAGCGGGGGGGAACAAAACAACCGGATCTTGATCACATCGAATTACCTGAGGCTTCCTCACGAAAATGATGAAAATGTAGCTGCGGCCTAGGCGGCGCAGGGGGGGCGTGCACCAGGGGGCCCAACAATAATTATTCTTGAGAATTAATAATGTTCAACAACAACAACAACAACAACAACAACAACAACAACAACAACAACAACAACAACAACAACAAACAAACAAACAAACAAACAAACAAACAAACAAACAAACAAACAAACAAACAAACAAACAAACAAACAAACAAACAAACAACAACAACAACAACAATTACTAGCACGTGGGGACACTCCGTTCTCACCAGTGCCAGGGTTTTCATACGACGCCCGCCAATACCCCCACTTTGTGGGGGGGCCGGTTCAAGCTCTACCACATTTCCAAACGACTCTTCGCCACCACCCACACCCAGCTTCCCGCCCTATGACGTTCGGACACTTCACTTCGTGGCCTGCGGACGACCTTGGCTACTACACTGGCGCATGGGTACAGTGACTTGTCGTGGTAACATTTTGTGGAAGCGAGCTTAGTATACGACTTTTCCCCCTGTTCCAACACTGGACACCTGTACCGTTTTCCGACGTTTTTCCGTTTTTCCGTTCTCCGCGTGGCACTTCAGCCCTGGATATACCGCGCGCATGTGGTCACCAAGTGCCGCGTCGAGCTTTTCAGCCGTGTCATACTGCAAAGGTCCAGAGTCAGGGTGATACTTCACGTACCATTGCCTCAAAACCATACCGCTGACAGCGACGGGAGGGTCGCTCTCCGAGAGAAGCTGCGAGAGGACCTCCGCGGCGGCCTCGTCGGCGAAGCTCTCCCGATACTGATTGAGTCGAAGACGCTGGCCTATACATTCCTCCACAGCTTGGGCAGTATTCAATGCTCCCTTGGCGCCCCACTCCGTGCTGAGCCACTTCTGGCATACCCTGGCGTCAGCAGATACAGATAAATGTCCCAGGAGCCACTGCTTCAAGACGGCCCCGTCAGTAGTCCCCTCGGGCATGTCTGTGCGAATACGTTCTCCATACCAGGTCTCCAGATGGCCAGCGTTCTGCACTTTGACAAGCGTCTCTTTGGAAGAATACTGCAGTAGCCACGTCGTTGCGACCTTATCTGACACATACAGTGGTGGATCCAACTGTCGGAGCGCCCCGCATAATTTGAAAGCTGTATTATACTGGATGCCCAGGTGGCGGATGGCAGAGCCGCGCTGCTCCTCCAGCTCCTTGGCGCTAGAAATACTGACCGTGCCAGGCACAACCCGATACTTGCACCACCAAAGCTTGCACGCCTGGTGACTGACCTGGATACCCTTTGCAACGAGCGCCTGATGCAAATAATACGGGCTGCCGCAGTCGGCCAAAGGAGGCCGCGACAGCTCTGGGCCATACTGCTCGTCAAGGGCTTTCGCCGACAAAGCCATGACCCATCCAAGAACACAGGCGATACCTTGATCCGAGATGGCTACGGATGTGACAGTGATCAGTGATTTTGTTCGATGACGTGGTGACACACGGACTTGTTGTGGTAACATGCCGACGACGATTTTCGAGGTCCCACGGTGCGATTCGTATGATTTTATGTTGCGCGGTGCTAAAATTCCTACGAAACCCAATGGTTTTTGAAGATTTCGGCGTGCGCGCGCAAAGAAAAAACGAATGTGTCCCGCATGGTATTATTTGACAGGGATGATGGCCCTGGCAGGTGCGCAACGGTTGTTGGAGAAGTTCGATTCACGTGAACAAGTTGCTCGGAAAAGCCCATTTGACAGAAATGTTTAAAAAGTGTTGGGTTTCCGACAAATCCGCAAGAGCGCGCGGGATGAAATTTTGACATTTTTTTTTGAAAAACCATTGGTTTTTTATGTTTTTATGTTAAAATCGCTACGAACACTAAGGTTTTGGAAGGATTTCGTCTTGCGCGCGCGAATGTCCACTTTACCTTATTTTTTGCAAGGGATTCTTGAAGTTTGGTTATGTTAGAACAAGAAATGTCCACTTTAGCTTATTTTGTGCAAGGGAAAACCGATCGTAACAACACAACCGGATCCGGACACCCACGTTTTGCCTGAGACTTCCTCACGAAAATGATGAAAATGTGGCTGCGGCCTAGGCGCGGCGAGGGGGCCGCGCACCAGGGGTCCCAACAATAATTATTCTTTAGAATAAATAATGTTCAACAACCACACCAACAACAACAACACTAACAACGACAACAACAACAGCAGCAGCAACAACAACAAGACAAACAAAACTGCTGAAATTGGAAACATGAAGAACCAGGACGCCGTTGCCGTGGCTGATGGTGCTCCACTGTTCCACCTCCCCCTGCACAATTAGGCGTTTGCAAAATTCGGTTTGCATGGGGGCATAGGTTTCTGCGAAAAACAGGTCCTGGACCCATGGGCTTCCCCGGGGACAAGCTTACTGACCAGGAGAAGTTAAATGAAAGCGAAAGCGGCAAAAACACCAGACCCCATTCCACCAGGAGCCCTTCACTTCACGGTGAATGTGTGGACTAATGTGTGGATACTGGACACAAGATGCGAGAGAGAGTGAGAGAGGACGAGAGAGATAGAGATGGAGAGAGGGAGACAAACAAACAAACACACACACACAGGGGTGTGCGGAGCCTGGGATCAGGCAGGGGCGAGGTGGTTAATGAGGCCCGCGGGTGCAGGAGCACCAGGGCGTTCCTTGCCCTTCTCCTCCTCCGCCTCCTCCTCCACGATCCTCCTCCCTTCTCATCGAGTACCCTCCCTGCTCCTCCTGCCCCTCTTCCTCCTCCTGCTCCTCCTCCTCCTCCTCCTCCCCCCTACTGCCCGCCACTTCGCCCCGCCTGCCGAGCTGCAGCTGCTGCTTCACCACGTCGTGGGGCGTCAGCACCACGTCGTGCGCCACGGAGGCCTCCCCTCCGCGCCACGGGCTGGCAGCGCTCGCGCCGAGGCTCGGCGGGTGACTGCAGTGCGGCACGGGGGACCCTCCCTGAAGATTTCGGCAGCGCCCTTTTTTACACCGGGCGATGCTGCCCTCTCTCTGGCCATAGGGGGCCCTGGCGGACCGACCCGGCTCGCAGAATGCCGCAGGAGGACGGGGTCCACGGCTCCAGACGACTTTGTGTTGCGCGCCTGCATTGCTGTGCGTGACGTCGGGTCTCACTGATCTTTGGCGGCCTCCACGCGAGAAGCGAGAACGCACCGAGTCCACCACCGTGTCGCGAGGCGCCGAGTGGAGCGTCCTCGGATCCCATCGAGTTCTCTGCACTGAAAATGGTGGACAATACAGATCGGCCAGGGCCCAGATTGCCGGGCAATCCCGGGCTCTCGTGGGTCTTGTCGCGTGACTGTTCTGAAGGACTCGGTAGCGCGGCTGGGGTTAATGAAGGGGCTCTGGGACACACAAATAAATAGACACAAATAAAAGGATTCCCCATATTTTCTGATACCTTCTGGCTTTTTGTCTTCCCCCCCACTTCCCACAGTTTCCCCTATTTTCCTGGGAGTCGACGATGAAATGTGTCTGTGCGTTTCTTCCCCTGCTGAGTTAAGACTGTCCCAGGGCCCGTCCGGGAGCCATCCTGGGCTCCCCGCGAGCCCTCCTTGGACGCTGGTAGCCGTCCCGATAAGCCACGATCATTGAAAAGAAAGGGCACGTGCGACAGTGAGTTTTGCCTGCTCCAACCTCCATCTCCACGCTCCTCCTCCCTCCTCCTCCCTCGTCCTTCTTCTCCTCCTCCTCCTCCTCCTCCTCCTCCTCCCTCCTCCTCCTCCGCCTCCTCCTCCTCCCTCCTCCTCCCCCTCCTCCTCCTTCTCCTCCTCTTCCACGGCCTCCGTCTCCGCCCACTTCGTCGCCGACGTCGTGGTCCTCTCCAGAGTCGGCGGCACCGGCCGTCAGGCCTTCGCAAGAAAGGGCACGTGCGACAGCGAGTTTCCTTTTCGGTCCTGAGGGCGCCCATGACGGCCCAAGAGGTCCCAAAGACGGCTTCCAAGCCCCCAAGAAGGCCCAGGAGCTGCCGAGATGGTCCAAGAGGCCTCCAAGGCCTCCCGAGACCCCAAGAGAAATCCAATAGGCCGCTGGTCTACAACCCAGGCACGGTGGCAGGTTGGACCAGAGGCCATTAGATCCGCCGCCCCCTTTGACTCCCCCAGACCTCTCCAGA